TTCTACTTATGTCTTATATCTGTTCCTCTTTTCTCTCTCTCTCTCTTCTGTTTTTGTACGTGAGCACGTTTTGTTGTTGTTGTTTTTTTTGGTGTCATTATTGATTGTTATTGATCACTTGGGGTAGTTTTTTTCTCTTACAAAAGTGTTCTATAAACTGTGTTGTATGCATGCATGTGTTCTAGTAGATCTAGTAGGGACCTTGAAGGTTATTCATTGATTCTTTTGTCTTTCAGGGGGGGGGGTGGCGTAAAGGGCAGTTGTCGTTTAACGAGATCAATAGATCAATAATAGATCACAGTTAAAATTGATCATTTTTTTAAAAACAAGCTCTGACAATTACTTACTCTTTATCGAACCGTCCTTTCTTCAATATTCTTAGATAAGATTGAGTGATATATGCATATATATATATATATATATATATATATATATATATATATGCATAAGATTATTTTCATTGATTGAAAACAGAGTAGGCCTTTAGAGATATGATTGGAGAACATTTGTAACTCAGGTCGGATGAATGATTTTGATGTGGTTGTGTTCTCTGAACTGGACGTATTCAGCGCCATAAACTTCAATTTCAATTGAAGTAAGCTTTTAGATTTCTTCACAAGTTCACCATTAATCATCTCTTCTGGTCGGTCGATGACCACCTTGAACGTGATTGGTTGTTTTTAGTGTGTGTTTTCACACTTTTTCCAGGCTACTGATATTGGAACTGATTGATTGTTTCTTTGATTTGAATTCACTGGAATACCAGACAGGCTTCTAAAAATTCTCTATGGCTAGCATTCTTGGTGTTGTTTTACTCTGTCTAATATTTGAACGTTGGTTGTCCCAGTTAAATTGATGTCCGTGGTTGTGTCTGTATGCAGTGAGGCGATATGAGTGAGTGAGTGAGTGTGAGTGGATGTCATGTCTTTTGATGGCTAGCTTATGTTTATGGAGACGAAGACGAAGAGTAGGGGACGTCCACTTTGGCCAATGTAGTGGTTTTTGGCAGTTGTTACAATTTATTTTGTAGATGATGATGTTGGTTTTATCTTCTTTCGTTGTTGAGTCATTTGGTTGACACAGGGTTGACTGAGTGAAGTGATTTTATTGGTTTGTGTGCGACGTCAAGTCCTCATCATGGTTTGAAGAGTCTTGCAGTGATTTCTGAAGTATCCTTCATATATGTTGTAGGGCAACTTTCTTTGTGCTTTCCTTGGGTCGCTTTTGGTTTTATGGTCATAATAAGTAACTTGTTAGAATGTTATAATGTACGTGGACTGAAATAGAATTTTAAGATTATGTATTATCCTCTCTGATATCAAGGTGTCACCTTGGTATGATTATGAGCGGTAATAAATTGTGCTCGAAACGTGGTCATCAGTAAACATTACTGTATAACAGCGCTGTGAAACTTTATCAAAACAAAAATTTACCCGTAAATGGAACTAGATTACTTTTTAGGATTTTAACCGTGTCCCACCATGCTGTTGTGTAGTTGTGTGTTAATGCATGCAGTGGAATGTAGTGCTGAGCTTTTTTCTAAATTACTTATCATCTCTGGGTTGGTTGACCGCCAGTCAAATCAGAGGACAGTAATAAATAATCTTAAATTGTTTTCTGTTTCAATTCAATTCACATACATCATTCATTTCAACATTCTAACAAGTTACTCACTTATTTTGACTATAAAAACACTCGTCTTATTTCCCATATGATTGTAATTGATCACTCATAACATTCATATTATCATTATTATTATTTCTGAATGTACATTATCCTATATTACTGATTTGTATTCAATATCTAATCATCAATTCCACTCATGTAAATAAATGAAGGAAACAAGAAAGTTGTGTGAGCAAGTGATTGAGTGAGCAGCTTGATATTGATTATGAGTGGCAGTAATAATAAATTGTGCTCGAAATGGCGTGTGGTCGCATCAGTTAATATTACTGTACAAAACACTACACTGTGTGTGTGTGACAGTTTTCAAAATTCATGGATAATCCTCATTCAGGAATGAATGAATGAAAACAAAACACGTAGATCAGCGAAGAGTCTCTTTTCGTCGGCGAATTCACTCTCTTAGCTCTATAATCGGAAATATATATATGGGTTATTTTGTATGTATGTGTAGATTAAGTTTGTTAAAGAAAAATAGACAATTGGTTATGGCTATTTTAACCAACAAGGTGAAGATTGGTAATACAAGTCAAGAAAATTAGGTGTTAATGAAATTAGGATAGTAACAAAGGTGATAAGTTGTCACAAACAGTTGTTAAAAAAGAAGTTATGTAATCATATGAATAGTTTGATGAGTGAGTTTTACTCAGGGTTCACATAAGAACAAAGTAGATAATACGAAATTATGTAGGAGTTCTGAATGAATACAAGAATTATAAGGAATTAAAGAACAGACAAAGAAACAAAATTAAGTCATCAAAATCAACAAAGTTGTTACCATGACAATAGAAATGGTTGAGTAATCTTCTTTTGTATGCACAGCTCTGGTTTTTCTATGTGAATGGCCAGAGCTTCAGAGATACAAAGAGGACGAAACCGTATTGCCTTTGATAGGTTGTTCTTAACTCTGTGGATTACTTTGAAGCAGTAGGCGTTTGTTGAAATGGAATGATCAGTTTAACCAGGTGTTCAATTATCGCACTCTTTAATACACCACCACTATTTCTTTTTTGCAACCATGCTGTTGGATAGTGTTCTTGAATCCTCTTGGATCCTCTTTATCAAAATAAAATCTTATCCATAATGGAATAATTAATGCCGAAGTTCACATGTGTGCATGCATAAAAAGGGGAATGCTGGCTGTTTAAAATTACATACATATACATGTATATGGTCATGCATAGTGTGATGGCGCATTTAACTCACGCTTCACTATTTTACCACTTTTATAATGAAAATGTTTTCTGATATAGGTAGGTAGGTGGATGTATGGTGAGGTTATGAAAATAACCAAACAACAACAACAACAGCAACATCCAACGCCAATCACCATCAGCAGGGGGGGGGATTTGAAAGAGGTTACACTTCATTCACTTATCTAGGGAGGATTGTCTCAACTACACGCAGTCGGAACGGACGAGGATGTCAAATTGAGCGAGAATCGGGAGGACGAGAAACACATTCACATCAACCTGAAACAACCAATCTGGAAATCTTCGTCACTCAACATCAATAACAAAATTCGGTAGGATTTTCAATACAAACACATAGAGTCGGTCAGTTCTTCTATAGAGATCAGAAATTTGGCGGGTTGGTTACAAAGAATATTTCCACCAACAGCCTGTTGTAGAACTTTATCAACAACTAACTGTCTTCGCTCTATATACTGAAGATCTGATATGGCCGGGCCGGAAAGAATCACCAATAACAAGAAACGATGGGAAGAAACAAAACAAGAACCAATCGCCCAACAACAAATATGCAAGAGAAAGTAGATTGGACACTCGCTGAGGAGGCCACTGCTGGGTGATATCACGCGCTCGTTAGGCCATTGCTCGAGTGGAACCAGGCCGAAAGGGAAGTGGCGAGTGGGTCGTCAGTGCGAGGGTGACATGGAGGAGGAGATCTTGTGAAGAGGAGTTAAAACAGTATGGACTAACATGGATGATGCAGGTGTAAAGTAATTACAGCAGAAGACAGACAGAAGCAAGTGGAGGCGTGCAGTTGAAGCCCTATGTTTCACACTAGGAACCCAAGGGAACAATAATAATAATAGATCAAGTTAAAAGGATGACATATTGAAGGTGAAAATAACAATGAAGATGAATGACTAAACCAAATAACAGAGGTAGGTAACAACACTGTGCGACAGTTGATCCAAAACAAAATCTTATCCATAATGGAGTTATACTCTACTCTACCACCACAGTGCCCGAGTTTTATAATTATGTCAAGAAGAATGGTGGCAATTTGAAATTATACAGATATATGGTTATGCATAGTGTGGTCACACAAAAACCTTGGAGGATCTGGACTTCGGCGATGATATAGGTCTGATTTCCCACAAACTGGAAGATATGTAAGTCAAAAGCAACAAGCTGGTAGAAGAAGCATCAAAGATAGGACTTCCAGTGAACATAGGTAAAACAGAGGTGATGAAGATTCCCGGTCAACACCAACAGAAGCAACAACAGACAACAATCAGCCTGCATAAATGGGAGGAACCTGAAAGAAACAACCTCCCTCACCTACCTGGGAAGCATCGTCTCAACTACAGGTGGACGAAACTGACGAGGATATCGAAGCCAGAATCGGAAAAGCAAGACAAGCTTTCACTACTCTCAAGTCTGTGTGGAGGTCAACAGCACTCGGAATCAAAAATAAGATCCGGATTTTCAACTCCAATGTGAATTCAGTGCTACTCACTATACGGATCAGAGACTTGGCGTGTCATAAAGAGCATCTGAAACAAACTACGGACCTTCACTAACAGTTGTCTTCGCTCAATACTCAAGATCAGATGGCTGGCCAGAAAAGATCATCAACAGGGATCTCTGGCAATGAGCGAACCAATCAGGAACCGATTGTGAAACAAACAGGCATGAAGAAATGGAGATGGATTGGCCATACGCTGAGGAAACCACCAAGTGACAACACTAGACAAGCCATTGCTCGAGTGGAACCCGAAAAGGAAGCGGGCGGCGAGTTAGTCGTCAGTGCGTAGATGAGGTGACTTGGAGGAGGTCATGTGAGGAGGAGATGAAAGCATGTGGGCAGACTTGGAGCCAGGTGATGAAAACATTAGCAGAGAACCGAACGCAGTGGAGACGCGCAGCTAAAGCCCTATGTTCTTTTAGGAATTAAAGGATATAATAATAATAATGGTTTGATCAGGGATTTTCTCAAGCTTCACTTATACCACTTATAATTATGTAAATCTTTCTTACAATCTTATTATCTCCAATGTTTTTTTTTCTTTTTTTGTTTGTTAAAATATGTATGGCTATACATCAAAATAATAATACTACTTCCATAAGTATTGACATACGATGAAAGTAGTCGAGATGAAGTCGATGCAAAAGCAGCATTGGCTGAACTTGAAAAAATGCCACATATTGGCGTATCACGAGTTGGACAAACTGGAGTTGGCGTCTTAGACAAAATCGATGGAATCCGTACAGTCAGTGAAGCAGCAGGTGATGAAGGCGCCTTAAATGATCCGGAACACACTGAAGGTGAGTCAGTATTTTATATTTTACATTGAATGATGTGATTTAGAAAACAGAAAGATTGAGCTGAGCGAAGAAATATTTTTACTTTTCAATTAGATCTTCCCTCATCTCACTCTGGCTCTGTTGGTGTAAGTCACTGATTATCCCCATATACAAGAAGGGAGACAAGTCTTCCTGTGATAATCACAGAGGGATTAGCTTGACTAATATAGTGTCTTAAGTCTTAGGCTCAATAATCATGCGTAGACTGAGTGGTGCTCGGGAGGCACAAGCACGAGAGAGCCAGGCAGTCTTTAGACCAAGAAGAGGGTGTATTGGTCATATCTTCACCCTCCGACAGATTCTAGAACATAGTCATTCCTACCGGCGTCCAACAGTCATTATATTTCTTGACCTAAAGGCAGCATTCGACTCTGTCGATCGAGAGTCTCTCTGGCGATTCTTGGGTGTGAAGGGAATGCCGAGAAAATATATTGCACTGATTAAGGCACTTTACTCGTACTCATACAGCCAGGTGAGGGCTTACGGCGAGCTGTTATCTGAACTGATGACGACCAGTGGTGTCCGTCAAGGATGCCCATTATCTCCTTTTCTATTCAACTTCATCATGGATGTACTAATGGACTTAACCCTAGGTGACTTCAGCGACTCAGGGATTGACTTGCTACCAGGGAGGGAATAGTCTCGTTGACTTAGAATATGCAGACGATATAGTCCTACTAGGCGATGACTCTGACAAAATCCAGCAGAGTCTTCTAAACACCTTGAGCTGCAATCTTCGATGTTTGGCATGCGATTCGCTCCCGCCAACAAAATGAGGTTACAGGACTGGACTACATCGACACCTAGTTTAAAAATAGGAAGTGAAGTGGTAGAGCACGTTGACCGCTTCACTTATCTGGAAAGTACCATCAGCCAACACCAACGGGTTGATCTCTGACGAAATCTCAGCTGAGTACGGATACAGGGGGCTCGTTTCGCATTTGCAGTTTACGCCGACTCTGGCGTAGACGAGATGTTCGACTATCGACCAAAGGGCGGGTGTACTGCTAATCAGTCCGCTCCGTCCTCCTTTATGGCTGGCTGTGAGACCTGGCCACTGAGAGTGGAAGACATGAAAAGCCTGATTAGCTGTCTTCGATCATAGGTACCTGCGTTCTATCTCCCGTGTGAAGTGGTAGTTGTAATAGGGTGAGCAATATTGAGGTCAGGCGTCGGTCGAGTTCTAGGTAAACAGGGGAAATCAGTCGACGAATTTGTGAAGTTACAAAAACCGAGATGGTTAGGACATGTGTTACGTATGCCTAGCCCAGTCATCGCCTTCCTCAACGAGCAATGTTAGCGGATACAGGTTCATGCTGGAAAAGAGCTAGTGGAGGTCAAACAAAAACTTGGCATCAGTCAATGAAATCCACAACAGTTGGTCTAAGCCACGTAGGAAGGTGTAGACTTCCTGACTGGTTGGGGTCCTCGGGACGGTAAAAACCAATGGTTGGAAACAATTGGTGACATGGCTCAAAACCGTTCTCAGTGGAGCAGATGCATCCACTCCCTGTGACTTATGATTTCCAATCAAACTATGTTGTTCTTCGTTACTACTATTCCTTTGTCTCACACCTCTGTTTACTGTGTCTATTATGCCTTTCTTGTACTTTCTTCTCTTGATTTGTGTGCTACATGAAGGGAGTGTGACGACTTGAACTGGCGCACATCGGTGCAAAGTTCTATGTCAAAAACGGAGAGACAGACTCTGGCTCTACTCTAATATTATAATAAAGAGCATTTTTATTACAATACACAACAACAATTTACCAATCAAGTAGCGATATGTTTGTTAACAGTAATTAGTGTCAAAATGTCAATGGGGCGATAATTAACGAAGAAAATTAATACACACACGATTAAAAGGTTGAAATGGTTATATGCAACCTGTGGATTGCATAATGCATAATTTTGGAACAAAAGTGAGTAGTAATTAAGGAATCAGCGTATGTGTGTGTGCACAGGTTTATTCCTCAATGACAGATTGTTAAAGAAAATAGAATACGATTTGGACAATGATAATTTGTAACTAACTAGGGATGAAGTGATCATAAGAATAAAATAATTTGGACAGTTATAAATTTTTATAGGTTTAAGGGAAAGGGAGGCGAATTAGTCGATCCGTTTTATACAATCATATAACGATGGCCAAGGAAGGTGAGGAAAGTGGCTGTGAAAATTTCATCTGAAGACACCCACACATAGGTTTGGCTTCTTCTTCGTCAGGTGGATTCCTATTGTTTCAGCTGTCGTATGCAAAAGACGAACTCGTAAAGCAAAATTAAGATTAGTAGGAATGCGGTAAATAATTTTAAATGCATTATTAACGTCTACCTTATGCTCACTATCTACAAGGTGGGCTATAATAGAGCTGTTACGAATAGGTCTTGTTTGTCCCTTGTCGTTTAACCGTGCTGCAGGATGATGTTCGGAAATACGATGATGAACATGACTAATTGTACGCCCTCCGATATAGCTGGCTCCGCAGCTGCAGTCGAACTGGTAGATACACACAGATGTGGGGGCAAATTTAGGTAGCTTATCCTTATTTCTCGAAAATAGAATACGAGTGGTTGTGAAGAGACAACGTACCTCTGCTGCTTAATAAGAAGCTCTTTTAACTGCATTCTTTAGGTGCTCGCCGTGTTATTATTTCACTGATGTTGTCACCGAGGAACTGCAATTTTATGAACAGTGGTTTTTTTGGAACTGTTACAATACTGACTCTCCTAGGTGCTGCTGAATTCATATTTTTCTCAATGAATTTATCTGGATAACCATTTCTTTTTCTAAGTAATTCTCTAATAATCTTAACCTCTTCATTGAACCAGTCGTCTGAACAGATCAACTAAGCTCTATGAACCGGACAACTTACCAGGTTACGCGTTTATATTTCAAAGATACAAAACTCAAAAAATGAGTGTACTGACCTGTGATTTACTCACTCACTCACTGTCTGCCTGTCTCACTTAGATTTTAAACAGTAATCGATGTAACAGTTAAACTCTCTCTTTCTTACCAAGGAAGGTTTAATTAGTGTGCTGACGAATTGTTTCTTTGAGCACATAAAGGTGCTTTAAACTTTAAACCTAACTGCCAGCTAGGGCTAGCTTCCACATACTTTAGGATACGCTCTCCCCCACCCCCCAAACACGCTTTTATGGATAGATAGGCCTTTAAAAGATGTGTTAGTTAACGGCAATTTTATGTCCTGTCTCCTGTACAATATGTTTCGCAATAGAGGAGCCAGTTAGGTTTTCATCTGTTTTCACCATCAGTGGATTCTGAAGATTCTATTTGTTTTTGGAGCCATTTAGGAATATGTTCTCAAGCCAACCAGCCAGCCCTTACTTGCAGAGATCGAGGGCTCCTCCCTATGTATGTTTGTGTGCGTGTGTGTGTGTGTGTGGCCACACGTACATTCAAATAGGTGAATACTGTGAGAGGATGTGACATCATTTTTCGCATGTTCGACGGGGCTTAGATAGATGGACATATTGGCTTCAAATTTTCAATTATTCTGATATTAGCTGCATACAAAGTCTTTTAAACCACAACGGCGTTCAATCTTTGTCTAGTTATCAAGCTGCTATGATGCCACCCCGATATAGGGTAGCTTCATGCACACATGTTTCTTAGGGTGAGTTGTAGAGTGGGTCTTCGTGTTTCACTGACAACTTTATATCTCCTGATGAATTTGTCTGGATAATTGTTATCAATCAGAGCAGAGTTGTGTCAGCTTTCTTTCTTCCTCATCATCAAGTGTGTCTGTCGTCAATGCATATTCGTTGGATTCTACTGTGAAGAGGCACCTCACTCACTAAGGCTCTTTTGGACTGAATAGGGCAGAAACTGTGGTAACTAAGATACTATCCTGTCCTGTCCAGGTAGATTTTCTATAATTGAAAGGGCCTTAGTAAGGTGCCTCTTCAGTAGAATCCAACGAATATGCATAGGCCGTACACAATTAGGCGTGTTTCTCGTCGAATGTCCGAACATCACCCTGCACAGTGGTTGGTTGGTTGGTTAAGTAAAAGACAGCCGAAATCTATTCACATAGCGCTATTCGATCTCACTCATCTTCCTGTGATACAAGAGAACACAAGACTGATTGATGTTGACAAGGCGGCGGCTTTCAGGGTCATTTACCTACCACAAACCAACCAACAAATTTCAATTCCGCCTTAAGACTTCGACTACTAAATATTTCTGAGGCTGACTGGCTGGCCGGCCGGCCGTTGGGATCCATATTAACAAGCCTAATTTGTGTGCATCGAAAAGAAGTTGGTTAGTTCAGACATTATCTAGGTTGCAATGATCCTGAATTTGTTGTGGAATTTTCCTAATTTTAGTTGATATTCTATTTCCTACTATATCTTTATTATTATTATTATTATTATTATTATTATTATTATTATTATTATTATTATTATTATTATTGTAATTCAAGGATCTTAAATGAACTGTGGTGTTGATTCCATTGTGATCTTACTTTACAGATCGATATTATTTGAAAAGCACACTAATATTGTTATTGACTACTACTAATCTAGAATATTCTATGTATATAAACATGCATGCATATATAGATATAATTGTAGAGCGAGAAGAGGTGAAGGAGGAGGAATTTATCGACTAGGGGATATTCTTTTTTTATTTTTTTATTTACAGCTTGATTCCTACTGTATTTTTGGTACAAGTATGGAGTTTTCAGCATGGATATCGGTAGCCCAAATTTTGCAGGCCTACCATAGATATCAGGTGTGCGCCGGCGTGGGCTCGAACCCCGGACCATGTGCATGATCGGCGAGAGTCCTAACCACTGTGCTACCGACGCACAGTTGGACTCGGTGGGGTTTTGCGTTTCATAAGATATTAGTTGGTGCTAGTTAAAATCCAGAAATTTTTAAAATTCTGTTCAAATTTTTATTTTACTCTTAACGGTATGTGTATCGTCTTTCTTAATCTCTCTTTTTTTGTATGTGTTGGTTTTTTTTTCAGTGAATACATTAACAGAAGAGGAGAAATCTCGGATTATGTCATCAGAGTCATTTTTACGCTTCTTTCAGCGTTCCTCACGGATTGTCGAACGAGTGTTATCGCGTAATGAAGACCTTTTTCAAGAGTATACAGGTGAAGATGATCACGAGGCCAAGGAGTAAGTCCTCTCTCTGTGTTTTTCCTTTTTTTTTTTACATCTAACGACTATTTCCAACTTTAATTGATTTTTAGATTTTCCCGTCGATTGACTGGACCGAAGTGCTCGGTCTCAGGCTGACATGTCTGTTGGCCGGGTTCTTGTGCAGATGCTTTGACGATGTCTGGGCATTTAATTAGTAGTTAATAGGTGGATGTTGACTAGTGCTAGTTGGGACTCGTCAGCTAACTGGAAGTACCTGCATTTCTCAGTGAGTGATGATGTTCCCACCACGGAGGCTCGAACCCAGTGCTTATCCTGGATTCCATTGCTAGTCACCATCCACCATGATATTTTTCGCGCATACATTTCGCCTATTTATGTCACAGATAATTCCTATTTTGAACAAAGAAGGAAGAAACATTGAGGCTCAGAATAATCTGGATCCATTTTACTTCGTCGTTTCTCATCACCAGCTGCGTACAAACTGAATTCTTTAGTAAAAGAAAAAGAAAAATAAAAAAGTGTACAATTTTAACAAACTCTTGTCCATTAGCAGGAGCATATTGTCAGAGCGTCATAGTAAATGAAATAAGGCGTTGCGATTTACAATGTGTCTAAAGTGTTACGACACATACATATATATGTTTTGTTAGAGAGAAGTTTGTTGAAAGAAAATTAATTAAAAGTTGTGTTGTTTGGGTGGCAACAAAAGACAATTAGTAATAGTTACGTAATTAGGTAAGAGAAGATCAAAATTTTCGGTAAACATGAAGTCAGATGAGAGAGAAGTTAATGATGTAATACAGTGAGCAGAGCTCAGAATAGAGTCAAGCGAAAAATAAATGGTGTGGAGGTGGGTAGTGAAAAGATAAATTAACAAAATTAGAAAACAAAGAGAGTAACTAAGAGGTGAGTCACCAGGGTAATTGAAGTTTAACAACGATTTCTTTTTGGACACATAAGTGAGTCAGGCTTCAATCGTTTTATTGCTATAGCTTCAAGAAACCTGAGAAGACTTGAGGTACTTTTTGTCTGTTAGTTTTTTTATTTTGATTGATTACAGCACATCTACTCGGTGCTGTCCTGTGTCAGTCAGGTGTTTGGCGGTTGGCGATTGAAGAGCTTAAAAAATTCTGTCCCTTTAACCGGAGGATCACTCTTTGGTACATGTTCGCAGAATCTGACGTAGGCCCTCGCCTCTCTGGTTCTTCCAATGTAACTGCTTCCGCAGATACATGTAAATTGGTATACACAGTTGGAGGTAACATAGAAGGGGTACTTGTCAGTCGTTGAATGCACCAGTGAGAAGGTTGTTTTCGGGGTAGATAGAGACTAATAATGCTGTAGGATACAGCATTCAGACTAAAGTCGTATTTTTAAATAAATCGTGTTTTCATGTTTACTACTTATGAATATATAAGTAGTAAAAATAGAGTGGCAAAATCTTCAATGAACTAACAATGAAAATTTCTGTCGATGGCCAAAGTGTTTGGAGAAGACACGCAAGCAGAAGGTGGCAACACTGAGAAAGTACCGAATAAGAAATAGAAAAGAATGAGATGATGATTATCATTTCGGTTTTGATCACGGATTGATATGAGTTAGAGAACCATTGAAAATCAGGGAATACTGGACAACTGTTTCGTCCAAGTTTGTGACTCATAGGCAGTACAGTACGCACCCACCACAGAGGGTTCGAACCCAGGACCTTCCGGTTACAAGCCCAGCTAATTGGTTCGTATACCATTCAGCCATCACTCACTGGAACCCGATTCCTCAATGCCTAGCCATTGCATGAATTCTAACTTCTACTAATTTGTGATGCATTTACCGCGACTGGCACCAACCAATGTCGTCGGTGGAACATCCATCCTCACGCATGACATCTAGGTGGACCTAACTGGTCATGACTTCTCACTAGAACTGACACTCCATCCTGTAGTAGTTAGAATTCATGCACTAACCATTGAATCGGGTCCCAGGGGAGAGGTGGCTGAATAGTATGCGAGTCAGCCAGCTAGCTGGCCTTGTAACCGGAAGGTCTTGGGTTCGAACCGCCTGTGGGAGGTGCGTACTTCCGATGATTCCCAAACTAGGCTGATATAACAGCTCTGTCCAGTACTCCCTTTGGCTAGTTTTCAGTGGCTCTCTAACTGATATCAATCCGTGATCAACTGGTAAGAAAAAAAGAGCTAAACGTGATGGGCAATGAGATCAAAAATGATCTGAAAATCCACACAAGTTAACAAGCTCCTCCACCGACCCTTAGACTAAAGTGCTGAAAAAAAGGAGTGTGCAGTAAAGCGCCAAATTTTACACATTTACGTGATTCTTGCATCTCTTAAATCAAACAATAGAACACAAATAGATTTAGAGGACAAGAAGAATTAACTGTGTCTTTCGTTGTATTTTTTGTTTTTATTGAATGGATAGGTCGGATCCAAATTATTCGGTGAATTATTTGAAAACTACTAACTAACAGGGGAGGCATAACACTGAAGACTAAAATTTTGTCATTTTATATTGATGAAGAGTGATTACGGTTTTTTCTCTTAAGGGAATTAGAACAACCATTGCTTTCTCCCTCTAACATATAGAAAAATAAGTGATCTCTTCTTTTGTGATTTCACTTCCAGGAATTAATAAAACCCGCCTGTAGTCAGTCAGTATTACTTGTAATGCAGCGAATAAGAAATAGAAAATTATGAGATGATGATGATGATTATCATTTCAGTTTTGATCACGGATGATTGATATGAGTTAGAGAAGCATTGAAAACCAGGGAATAAATACTGGACGGGTGTTTCGTCCAAGTTTGGAACTCATCGGTAGGGTTTCGAGCTCAGGACTTCCCGGCTACAAGACACGCTCGTGTACCACTGAGTCGCTGGGACCTGAATCAAATGGCTCATAAATTCTAAATTCTACCAATTTGTGATGCATTTCGCGCGACCGCTCTCAGCCAGTGTCTCATAGGCAGGCAGGCAGGCATTCTTCTTCACCCCACCCCACCCGGTGCTTTCCACTGGTCACGATTTCTCACTCAAGCTGCAGGCGAACTCGTCCTGGTTGGTTTTCAAGGGTTCTCTAACTTATATCAATCCTACAAACAAATTCATGGGGATTTTTTTAATTTTTATTACTATTATAGTATTATTCGATCAGTGTTTATGATTCTCTTATTGTAAATTTCATTTTTTTTTACAGTAATCATTACTTCTAACCGTACTAGTTTTCTTCACTACGATATTATGTTAACAAGATAGCGTAGGTTTTCCGGCTCCAGTGGTTATATACATATTTCGACCCCCCCTTAGGAAACAATTGTAATATATCATCGTGAGATGACATCAGTTAGAGAACCACTAGAAAACCTGTAAGGAATACTGGACAACTGTTTCGTCAGCTTAGTTAGAGACTCTTCAGCAGTACGCACCTACCGACAATGTTCGAACCCAGGTTGCTCTGGTTACGGGGCGAGCTGAAGAGACCCAAACCAGGAAGAAACATCTGTCCTTGCAGGTTTTCCAGTGGTTCTCTAACTGATGTCAGCTTATGATGAAATCCTCCATGCAATCAAACAGAAATCCCTACAAAACCAATACTTGAGAATTGTAATCTATGTTCATATAATCGATTAACAAACATTTGTAGGTTTCACACGCTTACTGGCACTCCTCGAAAATGTCGTTGCTAGGATCTGCAATACTGATTACTAAGGCCTGAGGCGTTGTCAAATAACTGTGTCGGTTACGAGTACTTTGTAAATGTGACGAGTAGGTGGAATGTTAGTTATCTTGTTTGTTTGTTTGTCCTCAATTACTTTCCCGTACACAAGTTGTGACTTCTAACCAATTTCGTGGACAGGCGTATTCATCAAATCGCGTATCCCTTCATTACTGGTAGATGTGGCTAGTGCTACCTACTGTGTGCCTTGTTGCATATGGACAGGAAGCGACTTCAATTGAAATCAACATTTAAATCCAATCATTGTAAACGTAAAAGTGTTTAGTTTACGTTGTGTCGACATGAAATAACCTCATTAGACAACTGGTTTGATCTTCAGCCGTTTATCAACCAATCAGAAAAATTTTTTCTCCTCTGACCTAGCCCAACTTTAATGTGACTAAGAATGTATAAATATATGATGTGTTTTTCCTTACTGAAAGTCCATTGCCAAGTGTCTTATTTATTAAATAAACAACAGACCTTCGCCAACAGCTGTCTTCGCTTAATTCCACTCAAGATCAGATGGCCAGCTGACCAGAAAAGATCAGAAACACGGAGGGATCTCTGGTAATGAGCAAACCAACCAAGCAGGGAACCGATTGTGCAACAAATAAGCAGGGAGAAATGGAGGTGGATTAGCTGGCCATCCTCTGAGAAAACAAACCATCAAGTGTCATCACTAGACAAGCCCTCCAGTGGAGCCCGAAACGGGAGCGGCGAGTTGGTCATCAGTGTGAGGGTGAGGGTGACTTGGAGGAGGTCATATAAAGAGGAGATGATGAAAGCATGCGGGGAGACTTGGAGCCAGGTGATAAAAACATTAGCAGAGAACCGAACGCAGTGGAGACGTGCAGCTGAAGCTCTATGTTCCTCCAGAAATTGAAGGAAATAATAATAATAATCCTACTGCAGCTGAGCTATTAATTGTTGCTTTGTTCAAATTGACCTAAATGTGTTTGTTTTTCGTAGACTTATTATGTATGAGAGATAAAAAGCCATACTTCAAGTCTGCTGAGTTTCTTCTCATAAAGCAAAAAGGATGAATGGGTATCCACTGAGATTTCTCGAGCAAAAAGGATGCACTATTACCATCTCTACCAGTATTCATGCTTCATACTTCTGGTTATCTTGATTAGTTTGAACCAAGCGAGGATGTGAATATATATTCACAATTTTTCTTCACTTTCCTAACAATCTAAAATGACGTATTTTAAAAAAATTGAATTTTAGATTTTCCTGTCCATTGATTGATTGAACCGAAGTGCTCAGTCTCAGGTGTTGACATGTCTGTCGGCTTCTCGTACAGATGCTTCAACGACGATGTCTGGGCATTTAATTAGAATTTAATTGGTGGATGGTGACTAGCAGTGGAATCCAGTACAGCATAACGCGCATTTCGTCTTATTCGGGACTCGTCAGTTAGCTGATGTACCTGCATTTCCCAGCGAGTCAGTGATGATGTTCCCACCACCGAGGATCGAACCCAGTGTCCATAGTTTCAAACACCAGCCAAAGCGTGATCCACTAGACCACTTCGATCACAAGGCCACGGGACTCGTGGTCACCTGGCTCTCGTGACCCAAGTGGTCTAGTGGATCACGCTTTGGCTGGTGTTTGAAACTATGGACACTGGGTTCGATCCTCGGTGGTGGGAACATCATCACTGACTCGCTGGGAAATGCAGGTACATCAGCTAACTGACGAGTCCCGAATAAGACGAAATGCGCGTTATGCTGTACTGGATTCCACTGCTAGTCACCATCCACCAATTAAATTCTAAAATGACGTATGTTATTATACCTGCAAATATTCAACAACAAGATTATGATAGGTCGTGGGATTAAATGAGCTTTCGGCAAAGTTAAACTTTAAGGATCACTAACTACCACCAATTAGCGAATGACCTCGCATGCAACAATCACATGAAGGAGGCATTTTTGTGTATGTATGGATTACATATATATTTATGAAAAAAATGTTTAAAAATTGTATAAAAGTGTTACAGAGGATACTCGTCTCTCACATTTGAAAAAAAATAGTTCTCAGTTTTAGTTTGGACTATCAACAGAGTACAAATTCCATTGCGGGTAAAATTTATTTTGATAAGGTCTCATAGTGTTATACAGTAATATTTATTGAGTAATAAATTGTGCTCGAAACTTGATCATCAGTAAATATTACTACTGTATAACACTGTGAGATTTCATCAGAATATTATACGCTATCGCAGTTCTATTCTTATATCAACAGAGTAATTTAACCACATTCTATGCATTTGATTATTTAGTTCTTCTAATCCTTACAATGACCTTAATTCTTCCTGAACCTAGCCCTAACGTGAGAATATCCCTAAACTAACTGTAATCTAACTCGAACCAACTCTGATATCGCCTTTAATTAGGTTAACCTAACCCCCCCAAACTTGTCCTTGGCTTAAAGCGTAGCTAAATGTTTCCCAAACCCAAGCTGAAACTTCCCAGATATCCTCCGATTTAATAACACATAACACTTCGATGAGCATTTTTGGTTGTTGTTGATGATGACAACATCATTTGCCTGGTTTTTCACTGATTCGGTCGGTGAGCGTTTCAAGGTCATTGGTGCGGTCGCGCACTCCACTGGTAATTAGTTAATGGTGCCTAAAGTTGAACTTGGCCCCGTTTGCCTTTTGTTACGGTTAAAGTTAATCCCTAATTACTGGATATGGTTTTTTTAAATTTTTTTAAAATATTTTTTTCTGCCTTGACTAGATCTGATGAATTGCTGACTGTGTCACTAGAGTTTTTCGATGATCGATGGTCTAAAAATCGTAAAGTCACCGATTTGGATTGGTCAACAATATTCCCTGAGTTATGCCTTGCAGCGTATAATTCAAATGAACAAAGTGCTCATGAACCAGAGGGGGTGTGTTTAGTCTGGAATATTAAATATCCAAAGCTAAAAACTCCAGAGCATGTATTCCACTGTCAATCCGCTGTGACTTCAGCGAGTTTATCACGTTTTCATCCAAATATTGTTGTCGCTGGAACGTATTCTGGACAGATTGTTCTATGGGATAGTCGGTAAGCTACTTTGTTTATATATATATATATATATATATATATATATATATATATATATCTTCAATATAGCAAAAATATTCATTCCGACATCTATAAAACACAAAATATAATTGAGCTAGCAAAGTATATGCTTTTCGATAAATTCCATTCTAACCGACATTTTCCTTGCGAAACTAGAAAATAATGGGCCTTTGAAGGATATTATTACTATTATTGAACTTGAATTCTATTGTCGGTACATGGATGATACACCTTTTTGATTATGAAAAATGCGAAAGAACATGCAAAGAACATCCTAGATAAATTTAACGAGGTTCATTTCTTGCAATAAATTTTACTATTGAGAAAGAGAGAAAATGACTAGTATTTCATTTCTAAACATCCTTATGACCAGAAAAGAGGATGGCACAATAAGAAGAAGTGTATATATGGAAACTGACTGTCAGTATATTCACTTTCTCAGCTTCGTGCCCTTGAAATACAGACGCAATGTGATAAAGTGCTTGGTCCACCACAAAGGAAGAGCAATCTGCTCGGATGAATATCATGATGAGGAAGTTATTAATATTAAACGGTTGATGAGTGATGAGTGTGCCAGTATATTGAAAAAGTAAATTAAAAATTGAGGTTGTACATATTTGGTAATTGGGGTATTAAAATTTAAACGAAAGAGACACTGTGAAACTTATTCGCTTGAATATGTAGTTTCCACTACGATTTGAGTGTCCAGCGGTGACGTCAAGAGAGTCGTTTGAGGAAGAGATGAGAGTTTACGGGTAATCTTCGACGAGCTAGCTAAAGAGAAGTGTAGAGAAGAGGATAAATTGGAGTTGTGCTGTGTTCCAGAATCTCAGGGAATAAATCATACTTCCATATTAGTTTGCTTATCAGATGTATCACACAGTGAGTGAGTAAAACAGTATTAGTATTCACTGGATGACAAAGTTTCGAACACACACACAATTCACTATTGCAGTTCATAATCATACACATCACCAATTATAATCACACGACTTCGAAACTTCAGTTTTATAGTTTCTTTCTTTGTTCTCTTCTATTTGTCGTCATTGGGGTAGGAGAATTTTCCAGATATGTGGTTGGACAGGTGTTGAATCATTCCTATTCTCGGTCTGTTTTCGACGTATAACTTTGCACCGATGTGCTGCAGTTCAATTCGCCACACTCCCTCCTTGTGGCACACACACACACACAGTGCAACAGAAGAAAGTAGAAGAAATGCATAATAGAGACAGTAAACAGAGGTGTAAGACAAAGGAATAGTAATAACGAAGAGCGATCTAGTTTCATTAGAAATTATTCCTATTACACGTGTTGATTTGCAGTTGATTCGATAGACAAAGCTTCCTGTCACACAGTAGATGATGACAACACCAACAATAAGGAATCTAAATCATCAGTTGTAATTCCATACCAGGAAGGAATCTCGGAAACCTTACAGCGGAGAATTCTTAACAAGGCGGACTGGAATGAAATTGGCTGAAATTCAACCCCTCCCCACAAACTCAATTAGAAACATGCTTTGTCGGTTAAAGGATCAATCCTGACAGTGGAGCCTTTAAAACAAAACAATTTAGTTTATCTAATCCCCTGCCTGAGATGATTGTCAGGTCAAATACATGGGTGGGTCAAAGTAGTAGAACACGGGGCAGTCAGTGAGTCAAACTAGCCGAGAAGCATAAACACCTAGCAGCAAAATTTAGATTAGTTTACCCGACTGAATAAGATAAGAAATCTAGAGAATAGTTCAGCAGTTATCGCAAGCACTACATGCAATTAAGGACAACCTACCATACAATAGGCTGGACGGGATAAGATGACAGTTTTAAAATCTAATAGAGCTAACAGGGTGGCGAGTGGGGAAGATTGATAGTGGAAGCTTCGTGTATCCATTCAGTTGCAAACACATGTAATAGGAATGATTCAACACCTGTCCAGCCACATATCTGGAAAATTCTCCTACCCCAATGACGATAAATAGAAGAGAACAAAGAAAGAAACTATAAAACTGAAGTTTCGAAATCGTGTGATTATAATTGGTGATGTGTATGATTATGAACTGCAATAGTGAATTGTGTGTGTTCGACACTTTGTCATCCAGTGAATACTAATACTGTTTTACTCACTGACTGTGTCACACATTTAATAAACAAACTAATATGGAATTACCTACTATCACCACAGTGCTTTAATTTTACACATTTACTAACCGTTTAAGATTCTCAGATCTTGAGTCTTCGTATCGGTCCAACTTATATTCCTGTCTTTCCGCTTTCCGCAGTCTACCTCATGATCCGGTCGACCATCGGTGATGATGGTTGACAGTATTGTCATACCTTCTGTCTTCACTTCAAAGGTGTCTCTGAATATTCCGTTGTAAATTACACCTAGCGTGTGGGGCATCGTCATATATATATATATATATACGTATATCTGTTGAAATAAATTCTCTCGTACATTCAACAATTCTGCATAAATTTGAACAAAGAAAGAAGAAACATTGGCGCGCAGAATAATCTGGGTTCAATTGAATTTCGTCCCGATCGAAAGCTGCTACCTTGACGTGGTGGTCAGGCTTGAATACCGCAATGTCCCAAGAAGCTATACTGGTTGAGACTTATGTCTCTTGAGGTTCTACCATGCCAGGCAGGTTGTTTGGATAGCGGTTAAACAAAAAGCAGCTACCAAATCCAATACCATGATCCAAACAAATTCACAAAATTTCATGCCGGATCGGCCGTGGCCCGGATTAACAACGACCGCGCTTCCTGCTGCCGTGTCACAGGGCAGGAGTGATAAATCTGCTACTGAGACACACCAAACAAAAAAGAACAAACAAAAACAGGCCGGGTGTGGAGCAGTTGTCCCCTGGGCTCTGCGGTCACGCAACCAACTTCCACGGTGTGGGCAGCCGGGAAGTAACAATCGCCCTCACAATCCGAAATGCACACGAAACCTCTCTAATCCTCACTCATCTTTGTCTTCATCTTCATCTCTATTATCTTCCCTTCCTTCCACTGATGCAACTCCTCTACTTGATGGCTCCTCACTTCCTCTTCACTCTGTGTCCACTAAAAACGACGGAAGCCAAAAAACCACCACCGATAGTCTCCTAAAGCCACGCCACCAATTTCATATAGGAGCATTTAATGTTAGGACACTTTGCCAAATAGGACAACAAGCATCACTAGCCAAGACCCTGGCATCCCGAGCCATTGATGTATGTTGTGTTTCAGAAACACGCATACAAGACCCAAGTGTGGTTATTCACCTAACCCCACCTGGCCAACAGGATGAATCTGCAAAATTCACCTTGAGGGTGTCAGGAGATGCCACAGCTAGTTCACGAGGATTAGCTGGCGTAGGGATAGCTTTGAGTACTAGGGCAGAAAAGACATTGCTTGACTGGATCCCGGTAGATAGCCGAATGTGTGCTGTCCGTCTGAACGGATCAGTAAGAAGGAGAAAGGACTGCACTACTCGCCGATGCCTTTTCGTAATCTCCGCCTACGCCCCCACTGACTGCAGTTCGGATGAAACGAAGGATGAGTTCTACCAAAAGCTGTCTAGTTTGGTGAGAAAGGCTAAACGCTCAGACATAGTCGTTCTAGCTGGTGACTTTAACGCTCAAGTAGGGAAATTGTGTCAATCTGAGAAGGATGTCGGTGGCACCTATGGAGTTCCGTGCCAGCGAACCGACAACGGTGACCGTCTCCTACAGTTCTGTTCAGATAATCATTTGTTTCTTGTAAGCACTAACTTTAAACACAAGGAGAGACACTGTTTGACTTGGAGACCCCCTTCATCAAACCAACGCTGGACACAAATAGACCACATAGCAATAAGCTATCGTTGGCGTGGGTCGGTAGGAGATTGTCGCTCCTTCTGGAACACGTGTGTAGATACCGACCACGCACTGGTCCGCGCTCGGGTGTGCTTACGACTGAACGGACGTAGGAAACAGCTGGCGGTAAAACCATCACGTCCCCAGCTCGATCAGGAAACTAAATCCGTATTTGAGGAAGAACTAGCTAAACACATATCTGTGTTCGACAGCTGTGCTCACCCTGAAGAAGCTTGGAAGAATATCCAGGCAGCCATAGATACAGCTGTAAAAGCTGTGAATAAGGTAAACCCAAAGGTGAGTAAAAACCACTGGATTTCCACCGCCTCATCCGAACTGATAGATGCTAGAAGACTTATTCCGGCGAGCTCCGAATTCAATGAGGAGCGAAAGCTGCACAAAAGGAAACTTACGAAAAGTCTCCGCAAGGACCGTGAACAGTGGTGGGTGACAAAGGCGAAAGAGATGGAAAAAGCATTGGCGATAGGCAACACTAGGCAACTCTTTAGACTCATCAGGGAAACGGGTGGGAGAAGGCAAATCATAAGTGAGACTATTTCTGAGAAAAATGGCTCCTTAATTAGCTCTCAGGATAGACGCCTTGAACGCTGGAAGGAACACTTTGAGGACAATTAACTTGCCTACAGCCACACTGAACCTCCGTGACATCCAGCACACACCCGATTGGGACATAGACACTGGTCCGCCGTCTGCTGAATTGATAACAACCAGTGGTGTCCGACAGGGATGTCCACTTTCCCCATTTCTGTTTAACTTCATCATAGATATGCTAATGGAAGTATCCTTAACTGAACATAACGACTTAGGAATCGACCTGTTACCAGGGAAATAGTCTTATGGACTTGACAGTTAAACTGAGTCAGGTAGGGAGATGCAGACTCCCGGGTTGGAGCCCTCGGGGCTCTAGGAATCCAATGGCTGGAGACAATAGGTGACATGGCTCAAAATCGTTGTCAATGGCCAGTGCAGATGTATTCAGTCTCTGTAATCTTTCATATTTCTTTCTACCATTACCCATTCTGTTTCACTCTTATACTTGTCAGACTGTATTGATTCTCTTCACTCATCGTCTTGTCTACCTTTGTGTGGTATTTGGAACGTGGCAACTCGAACTGGT